CCCCCGCCCCTCCCCCCCCACCCCCGACAGCCACCGGCTGCTGCTCCCCAGCAGGGTCCCTCCCTCCTACGCCCAGCACCCCACAGCCCCGGGCCACCGTCCCCCCGGCTGGGCTGCACTTGGGACGGTGCTGCAAGGAAGGGGACAAAGGGGGACAGGGCACCCAGGGCACCACCGCCTCTGCCCGGCGGGAAGGGGGACGGAGCAGAGGCAGGAGGGGATGGACGTCCCACATGGGAACAGGACCTCTGGGGTCAGCCTGGCGCAGGGAGCAACCGGTGCCTCCGGAAGAGCTCCTTTGCATAGCACAGACTTGTAAAGATTTTAAACTTTAAACCGTGGGGTTGAGCCAATGTGTGGAGGCAAGGGCCTCAGCCAGCATCGCTGCTTTTATTTCCCCGTATCTAAAAAGCAGAGACTGCAACTTCCCGCTGACAAACGTCCCTGCACAAGGCACCTCACGCTCTCCCCCGGCCCCCGGTGCGGTCGCACCTGGGGAGCAGCAGAGCTGCACTCTACAGCCGCAACCTTATCCTCGCCTACAATATTTATCTGATTTGTAGCTGCTCTCAGAGAGCCATAAAAAGCAAAAGCACACAATTACCAGGGAAAGAAAAGGGCAGCTGCTCCTCTCCTCCCCCTGAGCCCAAATGAATTGGCATGTTCCTATTCCCAGAAAGGTAATATAGCCTGCGAAGCTCAACTTGCAGGGCAATAATTTATGAAAACGTGGCAGGCTGCCTTTGGAGCCAAAAAGGGAGGGAGGAGCCGATGCACAGGGCAGGCAGCAGGTGCCTGCAGCCCCCCCAGCCCCTTGCCATGCCAGGAGGGCGCTGGCCCCGTTTGCAGGCTGGCTGCTGTGTTAGCAAAGGGGCTGAGGGACGCGGCGTGCCTGGAGCCGAGCTGGGTGCCCAGCGCAGTCGTGCTGGGGCTGCTTGCTCCCCACAGGGTGCTGCCTGCCCTGCTGGGGGCAGAAAGGCACCCGAAGCCCCAGGCCTTGAGGCTCTGAAGCCCCCATGAAGCACATGGGGACTCCGACTTCCCAGGGGCAAAATCCTCTGGTTTGCACTAGATTTTCCACCCAAGTTACAGTGCAGCAGCCCTCGAGCGCCCCGGCGGTGCCGCTCTCCCCGAGAGCGTACGCTGGTCCTGCTGCTCCTCACCAGGGCAGCAGGTAAGATTTTCAAACCCTTTAAAATATTAGGTGCTTATCGCAAGCGGCATTTCTGGCACTAACTGCTGGGCTAATGGCAGGAAAAGCATCAAAGCCTCGCTGGAAGATTCCCCTTTCACACCCTGCTCTCTTCAGTCTCGCCTGAACAACAAGAAGCGCTCCAGGACTTTCGGTTTAGTCTGCAGCCGGTACCCAGATGCTTTCAGAGCGCTGATGCTGCACGCTGAGGGCGGCCAAGGACAGGATTTGGTGCTCCACGCCACAGCGTGGAGCCGGGGCGGGCTGGCAGGGGCGAGCCTCACCTGGGTGCCGGCGGTCTGCTGGGGCAGGATGCGGAGGAAATCCTCGGGGAGGTTGCCCAGGAGCTGTGGGTTCCAGTTCCTGTAGCGCCCGGGCGCTGGGGTGCCTCCGGGTCCCGGCACGTCCGTCCTGTGGGGTGAGCACAGAGAGCACCTTTTGGCGAGGGAAAAACCCACCGATGTCTGCCGCAGGAGCGGGGCACAGGCCCGGGACGGCAGCCCTCTGCCCGGCTCCACCGGCGGCCCTGGGAAGCAAGGAACCACAGCGCGCCTCCCAGACCCACGGCCTTAGCGTTAGTTCCGAGAGCGCAAGGCTTTCCTAGCAAGTTTGAAATCACAGAATCATAGAATCACTTTGGTTGGAAAAGCCCTTTAAAATCATTGAGTCCAACCTTTAACCTACCCCTGCCATCCCACCCCCAAACCCTGGCCCTCAGCACCGCCTC